ACGAGACTGTCGTGTCCTTGGTGTCCAATTCTGGTGGGTATATAATGATGTAGACGAGACTGTCGTGACCATGGTGTCCAATTCTGGTCGGTATATAATGATGTAGACGAGACTGTCGTGACCATGGTGTCCAATTCTGATGGGTATATAATGATGTAGACGAGACTGTCGTGTCCTTGATGTCCAATTCTGGTGGGTATATAATGATGTAGACGAGACTGTCGTGTCCTTGATGTCCAATTCTGGTGGGTATATAATGATGTAGACGAGACTGTCGTGTCCTTGGTGTCCAATTCTGGTGGGTATATAATGATGTAGACGAGACTGTCGTGTCCTTGGTGTCCAATTCTGGTGGGTATATAATGATGTAGACGAGACTGTCGTGACCATGGTGTCCAATTCTGATCGGTATATAATGATGTAGAAGAGTCTGTAGTGTCCTTGGTTTTCAATTCTGATGGGTGTATACGATAGACGTGGTTTCTTATCATTTAAAGACAAGACGTCATTGAAATATTTGAAGGTGAAATCAAACAACTTAGCAAGGTCTTTGTGACCTGTTTTGATAAGCTCGTCAATAAATTCAGTCTCATATGAAAGTAGAAACAACTTAGCAAACAGAGGGGTCTAAGTTAGTTCTCATGGGTATGCCAATATTCTGTTGGAAGATCTTACAAAACAGTCGGAAATAATAGCAACAACAAGTAATATCCAATAGTGACATCAATCATTATCATTCAACCTCAGCTTTCTAACAGTGTCACTGATTGTTTAAATGTATCATTTGACAAAGAATAAAACATATTTCCCTGTCAGAGTTGTCGCCCTTCCATTTATCTATATAAACGGCGGGAGAATAAATACTGAGAACTAACTCTATGTCATGCAGTTAGGAAAATGAAGACCACAACATACCAAAAATGACAGATGTTTCAGTAAAGTCAGAGAATTTCTTACAGGAAAGAACCAGATTTTTCATTTACAAAAGCGGACATATTTAGTATACCTACTTTGATTTTTTTCAGTATGATCAACAGATTGCAGGAAAAGATTGTTGTTTATCTATACCTAGATGTTATATTTCCCACAGGTAAACATTCTAACCAACCATGATCATAAATGTGTAATATCATCCGAAAATAGCGGCAACAACGTATCATATAACAAGGTCATAAAAGAACCAACACATCATATCACAAGGTCATAACAGTCACAATTCATCACCTAACAAGGTCAAAGCAGCAACAGCACATAATATCACAAGGTCATAGCAACAACACATCATATCACAAGGTCATAACAACACCACATCATATCACAAGGTCATAACAACACCACATCATATCACAAGGTCATAACAACAACACATCATATCACAAGGTCATAACAGTCACTATTCATTCACCTAACAAGGTCAAAGCAGCAACAGCACATAATATCACAAGGTCATAGCAACAACACATCATATCACAAGGTCATAACAACACCACATCATATCACAAGGTCATAACAGCAACAACACAACGCATCACAAGGTCATAGCAACAACACATACTATCACAAGGTCATAATAGCAACAACACATAATCATAGCAGCAATAACACATAATATCACAAGGTCATAGCAACACGGACAATATCATACCTTTACGGATGAAGCTAAGTCTTGCCTTTGACCTGGCCCGCTCTACTGTATTGAAACAGGGGTAACTATTTATTGCATTGCCTCTGCTACGACTTCTAGCTCACTAGCCTGACGCTCAACAGATCGAGCTAAAGAGAAGTTATCCCTTTCCGACAAGTGTATTGTGGTTACTACTTTACAAGTATTAAGGTATAACAGAATTGTTTGTCTAAAAACATTTGTAAGCAAGTCTGATAATTATTTCACTAACACTCAAATCTTGAATCCACAACAGCATTTTTAGCATACAATACGAAACATTATCCTATATGTATCAAAGTACTTTCGGATACAATTCTAAATTTTTGAAACACATCACTAAGTGACACATTAAAATCATATTAACACTTCCGCCCAAGTCGTCCGTCGTTTTAAGCCATGTTTGTTTCGGAGACGTAATATTGATCATAGCTATATAAGATATGAGACGACACAAGCCATAACATCCGGATTTTATTACATCAATATTGATAACGCATTTGCCATTTACGGTGGAGTTCTGAAGGGAAAGATCGTTTGGGGGAGATTGCGTCAGTATGTGTCTCCTATTGGTGGAGATTCCTTAGTCCTGAATCAAGAAGACAGCCACTACATGATGTTAAGATTGATGTACAGTAAAGACATTGCATCCATGTGGACATTCCTGAAAACCATTTGATCTTTGTTTGTTTGTTTTTTTTTTTAAATAAATGAATGCATAATATTCTTTTAGACATTTTATGTATCATTGGAATATTTGCTAAACCTTCGCATATTTACTTAAAGGAATATATATATATTAAGTTTGTATGCCAGTCGTGCAGGAAACAATTATGAGGTACCAAATTTATAATAACTTCAGTTTGTCATGTTCTAAATTCATTGTGTAAGCTTTACCATTAGGGTAATGGGAGCTATAAAATTCAAAACAAATTATAATTTCACATTAACAGAGCACACACTCACATTCACACACAGAGACACACACCCTCATACCTCATTCCCACAGCACAAAGGATTTCTCAGGAACATAACAAATAATAGAACCTTATAAACATATAAAAACAAATTTATTATCTAAAATAATGTACTATATTCAAGACAAAGACACATTTCTCATCAACTCTGTCAGTGCTGTCTCATGAAATCACACAATATATTCTCATGAACAATGTAATATACTCTCACCAACAATTCATTATACTCTCACCAACAATATAATATACTCTCACAAACAATATGATATACTCTCACCAACAATATGATATACTCTCACCAACAATATCTTATACTTTCACCAACAATTAATTATATTCTCACCAACAATATAATATACTCTCACCAACAATTAATTATACTCTCACCAACAACATAATATATTCTCACCAACAATATAATATACTCTCACCAACAATTTGATAAACTCTCACAAACAATATATTATACTCTCACCAACAATATAATATACTCTCACAAACAATATAATATACTCTCACCAACAATGAATTATATTCTCACCAACAATATCATATACTCTCATCAACAATATCATATACTCTCATCAACAATATGATATACTCTCACCAACAATATATTATACTCTCACCAACAATATAATATACTCTCATCAACTATATGATATTCTCTCACCAACAATTGATTATACTCTCACCAACAATATGATATACTCTCACCAGCAATATAATATACTCTCAACAACAATATGATATACTCTCACCAACACCAACAATATGATATACTCTCACCAACAATGAATTATACTCTTACCAACAATATATTATACTCTCAACAACAATATGATATACTCTCACCAACAATATGATATAATCTCACCAACAATATGATATACTCTCACCAACAATATGATATACTCTCACCAACAATATGATATATACCAACAATATAATATACTCTCACCAACAATATAATATACTCTCAACAACAATATGATATACTCTCACCAACAATATGATATACTCTCACCAACAATATGATATACTCTCACCAACAATGAATTATACTCTTACCAACAATATTATATACTCTCACCAACAATATGATATACTCTCACCAACAATATATTATACTCTCACCAGCAATATAGTATACTCTCACCAACAATGAATTACACTCTCACTAATAATATAATATAATCTCATTAATATATGTTCATAATTAACATTATATACTCCAATCAATATACTCTCATCATCAACATCATATGATCTCATCATCAACATGATATACTCTCATCGACATACTCTTGTCAAAAATATAATAGTAATATCAATAATATATGAACATATATATGATTTCCACATTGGCACAGGCGGCATGCTATTATCTAAATACATTTTGTGTAGGTTTGGATGGGATGTTGGGGAATATAGCTATAACAACTTCAATATCCCAAAGAATTGAGACGTGATTCACGTATATTTTATGATAAAATGCCTTATGTTTGGAAACAACATGGCACTTATTTGAGACATAACACTGATGAAAGAAACATTTATTAAATTTCAATGATAGAAAACACATGTATATTTCAATGTCGATCAGAGTTGTGCGATGTCATTTTCAGAAAAAAATATTTACATTTACATGACAATTCCTCAGGATGCTCCGGTTTGACAATAGTACCCTGGTATATAAGGTATTGTTAAAGAATACAAAGATCGAGGCCCTTACAACGTCATTATGGTTGACATGACAACGGTGACGCTCCACCGTCTCACAATTTCACTGGATGATAATACACTTGGGGATAAATGTTTATTCTGGTGTAAATCATGTTATCAGAGTTTGTGTAGAATGTAAATCTATAGTGATCTGATTGCGGCAAATACTATATAATGCACCAATGTCGCTTTTGTACCTTAAGATGTCTTTAGATAAATATTCACACTCCCACAATAAGCACGCAGCACATGTTGTTGTATCTATATACATTGGAATAAACTTCTATGTCAGTAATGAAATACTGATCGTCTTTATAACAGAAATTGTAATTTGCGTAACATACAGGGTGTCTGTAGCCCATTGCGTTCACACCACCGTAAACGTAATAAAATGTTATAGGCAATATTTCAATGTATACGCTTATTACACACTTATATGACATCAAAGAGGAATGTGAAGTGTTTGGTTTTGTTTTAAAGATCGGTATTAATTAACTTATACTTTCAGGGAAAGATGAATACCTTTACTACCGAAGACATTCCTGAATGAACAATAAATTATTGGTGTTATTTTTATGGAAGCATATTGAAAAAATACACCATTCAGTTGACAATGACTGATGTGTAGTTTATATTTAATCGCTATTAAATTTACTAAACACAATACCGGTACCACAAAAGGCCATGAGAACAAATGTAATACAAGCAAGCCTGTCTACCACTTTCGCCAAGGCTATCCAATGGTCTTCTGTGACGTCTATGAACGGTTTCATCTTACTTTTGCATACCTCTGTGCCAATTTTCGAAGAAACTGGCCTCACCGTTACTCTTGTTGTAGTCACTCCATTGACTTGTGTAAGCGAAGAGGCATCATTCTGAAAAATCGAGAAAAAATGTTCGTAATGGTGCAGTTTATACATGAAGGATTTGAATTCTGTAATGTTTCCTGTATGGGTTTTAATTTGTATTTGCAAACAATTCACGACTTTGATGTACATTATATTAATTATTTATCTAATACTGGAATTTGTTTCATTGTGTAATATAAATTGCATTGAAAATATGGTTTGAAAATAAAGCTGTTGCCGCATCATAAAAAACGACTTTAGATGAATGCGTGTTCTTACATAATATATTTTTTGTAAGTTTAGTTAAATTACCTGAGTCGTCGATTCGTCCTCTTCCTTGGAATCTTCCTGTAGTTCCGGCACATACACCCACGTGAATTTAGATAAAACTCGGAGGAATATCTTGTCTACCCAGCGTCGCATGGTTTGTTGTTGCTGATAGTGGATGGTCAAGGTGACAACGGACATAACACAGGCAAACCCAACGAGGAACAGACAAAAGTTGAAGTAAATCGCTGTTGAAAAAGGAGTAAAATTCATATGATGCTTAATGAACGAAAACAAGTTAATCTGATGTAAATGTTTTCAGTTTGAAGGAGACGGCGATATATCAGTTAGACACAAATGCCAAATTCATGGCACTTTTGGTGAGAAAAACGAATAATGAAATCATACAAACGTTTCGGCCATTTAGGACTTATCTGTGATGCTCTGTTCTGTTGAAACAGGCCCTTTCAAATATTTCATACACGATTACGACTTAAATGTAGTAATCTAAAACAACATTTTTTTTATTAGAAACATAGAGGATAGTCCATTATGTAGTTGCGATGTCGTTGAAAGTAGTTTCCATTCTGTATTATAATCTAGCAATTATACCGCAACCAGACAAAATACAATATTGCAACTAGACAAAAATCTTACTGAAGGAAGTTATCTATGGGGAACCGATAGTAATATCAAGTTAAGTAAGCGTTTTGATTAACATGCTCTTATACTTATTACTTGTGTGGAATTAATATAACCTCGTAGCTTGTTTTCCTGTCCCAAAATGCAAAGATTTCCTCGTTTCCTTTGTTGTTTTATTGAATAAAAATATTGATTCAACTAACTGTTTAAACGGCGGATATGGGATTAAATTTGCTCAATAATTGAATATATTTCTTATGATTTTAAACATCCGCAATTCAATATCGTGTCAGTAGTGACAATCCGGGGCATCAAGGACTGAAGACTTCTAGCAGAGCTAAGGCTAACGGAGACCAGTTGAGTTTAAAGTAAAGACCACCAGTAGAACTGGAACTAAAGGTCACAATTGCCACTACAAGTGCTGGGATGAAAAGCTAGGAAGTTGGGACCGATAATGAAAGGGCGTCTTATGATGGTAAGATATTTTTTTATAATTGAATTGTTTGTTCAAGAGGTAAACAACATAGATGTTCGTCTGATGAAAGAGTATATACATACCGATTAATGGAGTAGCATCCGCTGAAGGTGGGAGGGAGTCTGCCACCAGGAGCTGAAACACTGCTAAGGCAAGCATCACGGTGATCTGTAAGGACACTTTCTCACCAGATTCAACGGGTAAGAAGAAACCAATTATTGCCATCCCGGTGATCAGAAAGGATGGGATAATGATATTTACAACATAGAAGGCTGGTTTCCGCTTCATTTTTAGATAATACGTAACGTCGGGATAGGGCTCAGGGCAGCAACCATAATACACGACGTTACGTTCAGCAGTGAAACCAGTAATGTTCCATTCAACGTTTACAACGGAAGACGTGAGGTCTCCATATGGGTTCTTGTAGACGAGATCCATCTCAAGACCATGGTGTGACCATGATCCGAACGTCATTCCACACGTCTGAGTGTCATAGGGAAAACTTTCCACGTCCACCAGGCATCTACTTTGTGTGATAGTAGGGAAATTGTAATAAACTGAACCGTCTGAATAGATATTTAACCTGTAATCATCGTAGCCAGGAAAGTCATCCGCTGTGCTGTTTGAATACACAAACACGAATTTCAATGGATCTTAAATTCCTCCATTTCGTTTTTAGATTTGATTTTTTTATTCATATTTGAGAGCATACTAGTGAGCATTTCTGTTAATGAAATAGGCGATTTGGGTCCACTTCATGCGACAGACCATTTTAAATCAGATCTCAAGCCAGGGTCTAGAATCAACATATGTGTTGGCATTATATACATCTAAAACACCAACATAAACAGCCTTACCTATCATACAGAGTCAGATCAGGAACCCACACGTATTTGAATGGTACCACGATATTTCCTAGGCCACCGTAAGCAGTCGGATCCCAAGTCAGCTGACAATCTGTCCAAAACTACAAAATAAGTCCTGGTTAATGCCAATAAATATATGTAAATCGTGAGAGAAAATGTTTTGTTTATGGGTGATAAATATTAAGTATTATCGAGAGGTATTTGTCATGATGACAAATGAACATGATAGGTATACGCACTTACATAGATTTATCTGAAACAATGTAATAATGTATGACCAATACGTACCATTCTTACCCAAAGATTTAGGGTTAAAATCTGTGATGGCTCATCCTGTAATCAACAGAAACAACATATCTTTAATTATATCTATAACCAAATACCTGTGTTCACAGAGGATGTCCGACTCAATTATAACAAAAAAGCAGCTATTTTGGTGTAAAACAAGACGGCCAGCATCTCCTAATATACAAGAAAGAAAGAAAGAAGAAAGAAAGAAAGAAAGGAAAAAGAAAGAATGAAAGAAAATGAAATCTGAAAGGACATTTCAAAACTTTACCGCTATACTCCTTATTAGACGCTGCCCTTTGTTCAGATCAAGCCATGCGTTTTTACAAAATAGACGCCATTTTCGTACTCAGAATTTAACTCTGTATTTATCCGTATAGTTCACCGATTACATATTTCAATCAAGAAAAAAATGCCGTGAGTTTCTGTGAATTGTTATATCAAAAGAGAGAGTTACTTACCAAATCAACTATTTGTCTGAGAGCAAGATCTAGCCGTACGCTGGTGGCATTGTTGTTACCACAATAAGGACGAACCCCACTTTGGTAGTTCGTAAAGAGTTGATCAAACAGCAAGGTCGCATGGGTGGAAGCATCGACGCCTGGAACGACGATATAAATTACTTATTTGATTGCTTTTGTGAACAAATACAAATGTTAATCTGTATTTCCCAAGAACGCTTTTGTTAGCTATGAAATGTATATACAATTTTACCTATGTTGATATTGTGTAATGGGTCATTTATCATTTATTATATCATAAATTATTTACCCGTGCAGTTGATAATGACATTTCATCAAGCATGCTTATCATCTTTGCTTTATAATACTATTACAAAATATTTAAGAATATAAGAAATTTGACCTTGACCTTTAACATATTGACCTTGACTATAAGTCAAAAGTCGTGTCCATCGATTTTAATGCTCTGCTGCGCAAGAAAACACTAATACAGGATAGATATTCTGAAGCATAAGATATTGACTACAAGAAACATCAAGGATTTACCAACATGTTAACACCATCATAATCCGAACTCAAAATATGAACAAACGAAAGATTTACACGGCGACTCCTGAAAAAGTACAAGGAGAATAAGATCAGGTGTTCCGGAAGAGTAAGCGTCTTCTGCTTCATCGACGACCCCAGCCATGTGAACCTTTGTCAACCCAAGTAAGGTATACAACAACGAACCAACAGGCAAACTAACTAGCATCAAACACATCAAGCTTTACGTCGCACGAATTAAAAACACGACAGATATTGAGTTAGTTGGTAATATTTTAACATAACATCCTCAGAAGACAAAAGATAAATATAGTACCTAACCTGCTGGGTAGGTGGGGGGGGGGGGGGGGGGGGGGGGGGGGGGGGGGGGGAAATAACACAATTAAACAAGGGTGTCCTAGAATAACGATTACGGATATCATCAAGACATGTTGAATTCTGATTATAAAATATCATCATATCAAATCACGAAGATGTAAATGTAATGTAATCCAAATCCAAATCAAGCTAACTAACAATGGAAGTCATAGCCAATGAAATTGAAAGTGACTTGTCCTCAAATTTAACCGGAAAATGATGTAGGACGTTAATCTAAGATAAACATTCGCTTCGAATGTTCGTACCATCTTCTGATGGGAGTTTATGTTGCATATACATATACCATCTATTGAATCGTTTTGACCTTACATTCATTATATTTATTGGCTTGAAACTAAAACATGCGACTAGAGAAAGCTGTCTTTTACCCATTCCCACGTCTCGCTATACCAACACATAATCAGATTACCAGAACTGTTTTATATTGACAAAGCCGAAGGCAGTGATTTTGTTACACAATCAAATATTGTTCAGGTTTTTATTCAATATTCTGTTATCCTTTATACTCCAGTGTTTTATATTATCACGTACACTTAAATGATTAGCCTATTTTTGACAAAAGGTTCCTTCATATGGCACATATTGAAGTCGTTCCACGGTTTGGCTCGACAAGAGTTCAGACGGCATTTTCTTAAACAAGGTCAATGATATCGACATACGCAGATAGTTATATCTGATAAAAAATATTCTTGTCACGTCAGATAACAACTGTTAGAAGAAAAGCAAAGAATTATATATGCCGAGAGCACCTGCTTGAATACTCCACTAGTATGTGTTTCTGCTATAGGTGCACCCTATGTAGAGATGAAATGAATTTAACGGTATCTACATCACAAACAAAACTACGATTATCAAAAGGTATTTAACATAGATAAAGGATACGACAAACCAGTCTTCAAAACATATAAATAAAATACTGTGTAATCGTGTTTTAGGAAAATACTCCTTCAGATTGTCTGTTAATAACTCGGATACGGACCTTCCTCGTTTATATTAGATTTTTTAACTTCACATGGTTCAACATAAACGAGTTTTACTGCTTGTAAGAGACTTGTAATAGTGTAATTGTGCGGGTGTCACATTCATTGCCGAGATATACAAAACCCCAAACGAGGCTTGCACATGTCAACCCTTGATTTAATTTAGAGGTAGGAAGTTAATCATATTAAATGCAAAATGAAGACGCCAGTTTAGAAATTTCAACTATAAATAGTTCCGACAGTTCACACTGAAACTATGGAAATTGTTCATAAAGTAAGTATTGTTTAAGTTTCAATAAAAACGATATTTTAACTATACACATTGATTGCGAAATTTAGGGATATATCCCTTTGACGTTTGCGTTTGACCGGAAATAAGACATAATTCAATATAAAGCGGATTTCAACATTATGTCTTAGACTGTGTTCTTATACACTTTGTTATCGATAGATGCTTGTAAACAAAAACAAAAAAATAAAAAAAAATATGTAAAATTTCATTTACTTGTGGATATTTTTTGATGGCATACTTGACGGTGTGGTTCGGTTAAAACTGCCTACAAATTCAACGTTAACTGGTAGCTTAGGTATTCTCTTGAGTAAAACTCCGGAAGTCTTGTGTAAATTTCAACTAAATTTTGTAACTATTATCACCACATATCACAGATTTTAAATTCGTAAATTCTGACTTTCACTTTCCCAGATTCTTTGTACCCAAGAGCAAATACTTAAGCTTGTTTCTTGGTCTTGGAATAAGCGGCCATTTGAGCGAAAATTGCGAAGTTTAAAACATGGATACCCCTTCTTTTTCATCAAAAAAAAAAAATTATTCTCGAAAATGTCTTTATCCAAACATACAGTCTTAGAAATAACAATATCTATAAGATGGTCAAATAAGGGCCTTTAGTTTATTTGGAACATTTTCATTTTTGGTTGCTATGTAGTGTAAAGCTCGTTAACTCGAAAATTAGGAAAAGAATGGTTTTCATTATTTGTAACGGTGTACAGACTAGAGATTGGTACTCTGGGAGGAAGAAGATTGTTTAAATAGAAAACAGATATATTATGAAGTTTATATTTAAGTGAGAGTGTTTTTAAGTTTTCTTCTTTCCGAAAATGGTTGGAGTTGGGGTTCTTTATATAAGGGTTGTTTACATGAGCAAGAATGCATGTCGGTAATAATTCTAGCTACTTCAAGGAACACTTTTTCCAGCTTGTTAACATCTGTCAGAAAACAACATCCCATAAGTCATAAGAATTTTCTAATATCGGTAACACAGGTACTTTGTATATTTTCAGTAACGTTTTTCACTCAACAAAAATGATAATTATCTGAATACCGATAGTTTGTCCTACCTTCTTTTGTTTAATTTATGTAAAATGTTGAGACCACTTTGCATCTGAACTGAAATATGCCTTTCAATATGATTTAAAATTTCTTTTCCAAAAGAAAGTTGCATAAGTGGTACACCTTTTGAATTTGTTATGAATAATATTTCGCTTTTTATGGATTAAATCTAGAAGCTAGTCTTGGGACCATTTTTCAAATTACTGTAAATCGATATTTTAAGATTTTGTTTTATATCTACACAAGATGATGTTTAATACATCAAAGAAATATAATTACCATATAAGCGTGTAATACTGTTTAGACTATCAACGATATCATCAATATATTTTAAGACCATCTTCTAGTAACGTAATTCGTATTACGTACATTGTCTAATCATGTGGTTTGTCTACTTTATTTTTTCAATGTTAATGAGCGTTTTATTATATTTTTCTTAATTTTGCGCCAATAAAAATATTAATTTTCATTGTCTATATGTGTTAATTATTTTCTATTGTTAAGACGTTCATACATGTTTAGAAACCTACAGGTATAGAGAAATTTCTTAGGTCCACAATTAATTAAAACAATATTTCGTAAAGCCCGGATTATTGAGTTGTACATCTGTTTAAAGCGACTATAATTTTAAAAACACTACGAGAAAACGATATAAAACGTTTTATTTTCCAATAGTATGTTACAAAACTAAGAATTTCTGTTAATTACTAAAATTAAAAGTCACATTTTTATTGATATCTAATAAAATAAAGAAAGTTAACAGTGCGGTCTTGATCTAATTCATACATTACCGCTCGTAACCCTGATGCCGTGCATACGTATAAGTCTAGAAAGAAGCAATATGGCGGACGCAAATACGAAAAAGCGACGAGGAACTAAAAGTTACCTTACAGAAAGTGTCTGAAAGCGTAAGAGGAAGGGGTCAGGCCAGAAAAGAGGACAGGCAAGAATTTATATCAGAGATCGATAGATGGCGAAAGATGAAGGAGGATCTTGGACTGAATACGGATTGGGAATTTGCGAAGCTGCTACTTGACTGGTTAGCTTAACGTTAGCCCTATAATGATAACGTATCCGCCTGTCATTGATTATAACCCAATATCCAGTGTTTGACGCGTGAACATGTTATGAACAACACTACTAAAAGTGTTATTTGATAAATGTTGAATGAAAATAGTTGAGTTATTCGCTTGAATTTACTATCGACAACGTGTGTTTGTTGTTGACTGCAAGGTGGGCCCGATTGGGGGTATTCGTTCTAAGTGTAAAAATATGTCGGTATTGTTGTTACTGTAAGAATTACAACCGTGATGATAAACATAGCCTTCATAATAAACAATGAAATATATATTTATGTGTACAGACAAAGTATCAATTCCTGTGCACTTCTGAACAATGCGGTTTTTTTTCTTTTCCGGTTGTATTTACCCCTTTAGTTTAGCGCTCGGGATTGACATAGATAATTCTCGCACGTGACAAGCCATGTGACACACTCGCCTTTCTTCTTAATAAACCCAACGTGAACATGTCCATAAACAACAGGCAAGATAAACAATGTTCCGACGCCGAAAACATGTACAAAAACAACAAATTTGACGTTAAATGCGCGTGTATTGCTTTATTATGGATATATATTTTTTATTCATAAGTCGAATTCTCAATTTCCCGATGTTGAAATATAAGGTAATAGTCGCTTTAAGCAGATCGCGAACAATAGCCTCCTTTGATGAGAAGTCTTAGGCTTGGTTTAATAGGAAAATTGTCAAGTAACAATACTTTCATTAGTCAGCTTGGTTACCTGAGTGTTGACGGTTTGCTGTTGTCGTGCAAAATATAGATACGTCAATCGTGACCATCATTAAGCAATTTTTTGGGTGTGAGGACTCCCTGTGTGGCGGAAGAAGAAGGGTGATCGCGTGGGCATGGCTTTCACAACCTCCTGGCCACATCACATAAATGTTGACGAATTTGAACATCTGTTATTGTCTTTATCGTTATAAAGATAACAAAAATAGGGTATGCTAAGATATCAAATCAGGGAAATGATAAATATATCAAATCAGGGACATGCTAAATATAACAAGTGAAGGACACGATGAAGATAACAAGTGTAAGACACGATAAAGATAACAAGTGAAGGACACGATAAAGATAACAAGGTTAAGACACGATAAAGATAACAAGTGTAAGACACGATAAAGATAACAAGGTTAAGACACGATAAAGATAACAAGTGTAAGACACGATAAAGATAACAAGTGTAAGACACGATAAGGATAACAAGTGTAAGACACGATAAAGATAGCAAGTGAAAGACACGATGAAGATAACAAGGTTAAGACACGATAAAGATAACAAGTGTAAGAAACGATAAAGATAACAAGTGAAGGACACGATAAAGATAACAAGTGTAAGACACGATAAAGATAGCAAGTGAAGGACACGATAAGGATAACAAGGTTAAGACACGATAAAGATAACAAGTGTAAGACACGATAAAGATAGCAAGTGAAGGACACGATAAGGATAACAAGGTTAAGACACGATAAAGATAACAAGTGTAAGACACGATAAAGATAACAAGTGAAGGACACGATAAAGATAACAAGTGTAAGACACGATAAAGATAACAAGTGAAGGACACGATAAAGATAACAAGTGTAAGACACGATAAAGATAGCAAGTGAAGGACACGATGAAGATAACAAGGTTAAGACACGATAAAGATAACAAGTGTAAGACACGATAAAGATAAGACGTGTAGAGTACGATATAGACAAAGAACCAGTGTACGATTAAGATCAAATCAATCATTATTATCATATTGACGAGACTGATGTCTCCAGGTAAGACACAATATTTATTATCATATTGACGTGTTGGTGTCGTGCAAATTATAGGTACGTCAAGCGTGACCAAAATTAAGGAAGTTTTTTTTTGGTGTGAGGACTTCCTGTGTAACGGAAAAAGAAGGGTGATCGCGTGGGCATGGCTTTCACAACCTCCTGACCACATCAGATTAATGTTGACGAATTTGAACATCTGTTATTGTTTTCATCGTTATAAATTTCTAAATAAAATCAGATAAAATGACACCGATCTCGTCAGATTATAACAAGCAGTTCCAGACAAGAGAAGAGTTGTCATCTACATGTAATTTTGACTTAAAACCATACATACATAACTAATGGAAACATCCTCGATTATTGTTGACCCACCTAACTATTTAATCAATCAGAGTTCAAAATATTTATCATTCTCAAATCTCTAAAAAAAAAAAAAAAAAAACAAACAAACCAATAAATGATCGTGTAGACTGATGATATATGTAGCATTTTGATGAAGTGAATTTGATTTCATGGAATCGACGTTATTTTGATATCAAGGAGATTTAGCATCGTGAACAAATTACTTCAGTAATTTAGATAAAATGCTATTTTTCTTGCACCGGTTACAAAAAGGCTATATAAAGGTAACCAGTAGTGGGTTAAAAAATCAAATTCAAATATTCTAATTTGTTAAAACAAATCAATTAATCTGTGAAAAGATGAAAATGTTCCTAATTTTGTATGATTCAAGTTTTAGAATTTCACTAAACACTGGTTATCTTAACTAGTCATTGAACAACCAGGATCAGACGGAGTTAACGCTTTATTTTTCTAATTTGTTATTGCTATCAATCTTTATTTTCCAAAACTATGGACTTGGCAGGCAATGTATAAGTATGTTAACATAACGCTTAAATTGTTATGACATCACAGTAAAATCATCATCTGGTCTTAAAGGTGAAATTAGTTTGTTATCACAATCAAAGGATTTTAAGTTTGTCATTTTAGAACCATATACAAACTCCTGTGATTTTTCGGTTTATCTTCCCCTATTTTCACTCAGATTTCGCGTCTATTTTTTCATTTTACTTTATGAAAATTATTGTTTGAATTTCCTTTACACAATGTCCGTTTTAATGTATTGTTCCCGGATATCAACACTAATAGTTAACATATACATACCTTGTAAGACTAGCAAAGTCACCACCATCACTACACGTGCTGCAGTAATTCCTGCAGGGGCAGATTTGTCATTAAATTTCCGCATATTCTCAATAATTGTATTTTCTTTAACAAAAGTTGCTTTGTCACCTTTACCCGGTCAATTGAACTCTTTCTATTTCACCTGTAGCTCGATGGGGCACACTGACAGAATGTGTGGTCGCTCAAATTAAGGTGAACTTTAAATGGTTTACGATATGCCTATATATCTCTACCTGTCTATCCCCTATCTGAAATATCAACATTTGCTGTAAGTATTGCCAGGTCTGTTCATGACAATATCAGCGGAAACTTTATATAATACGGATACAATGGCCTTAATGATGAATGGTGTCCTCACCTACAGATACGTGGGACTGATTCTTTATCAAATACTTAATCGTTTATGTCAATCTACAACAGAACAAACACATAATACTTGGCATTACAAAACGTTAACCAATTCACAGCTTGTTCACAAGCGTGTAGTATTGCTTGTTGATATTTAGAAAAGGTTTAATTATTTAGCGAGGACATTTACTGAACAAAGGAGACATCGTTTATAGTAGTTACAGACTTTGAAGTACATGTACTGAGATAATAAGTCTTGTTTGTTTTATCATTGGCAGAGGATATAACTGTCGAGTCCTAATTTGTATATATAGTTTTTTTAAAAAAAATATGTCGAGAACTTAAAAATACCCTCGTTGATAATGAATGTTGTATCGGGGGCGCCATTGAAAAAAAAGCATCATGAACAGGTTATACATTTGTATATATCTGGCTGCCTATTCCTGTGTAAAACCGTTTACTTGTTATCTTCTAACGGACCAATCCTGTGGCAGATCGATAGTAAATCCGGACAGTGATTGATCCAATCCCCAAATTTTAACATGTGGAATACCAAATTATAATTCTGAACAATAGTGGAATGGCTTCAGAAAATATGTGATGATTATTTGTTCTTAATTAAAATCCAAGTTATTAATCGAAAAAATACATGTAAGTGTTAAGGAACAAAGGCATTCGCATTTCACCTAGCCGACCGGGGTTCGATTCCCGGAACGGACGTGGCTTTTCCCTGGGTGCTCCGGTTTCCTCCCACAATAGGACCCCTCGCGCGCTTACATCCGGGCCAACAAGAGTGATTAGTATAAGTTGACATAACTTTTTTCGCAATTGTTGTAAAATAAATAAAGTTTATATTAACTTTGAGTATTTACTGCCTTAGTTTAAGATTTCTCCATCTTTCCTGCTGAATTTCTACACTGCATTTTCTATCAAAAACGTCAACAATAAAACATTATAACCACTGCGGAATGGTTGTTTTCTTTCTTTGAATCTTGCGTGCCGGAATTGGAAAAATATATATAAAGCGCGAGATTTCGGGAAGATATGATTTAGTGAATTCTCGTCCAACAAAGACTTGGTATTTGCTAACAGAGAGACAGGTCAAAGTATTTGATGTGGTTTTGATATGTCGTAACAAGGCGTGCCAGAGACCTGGTAAACAGTTTTTTAGTCAACCGTACACACGACTCATCAAGATGTCTGAACTCTGTTGTAACCACTTCTACGAAATCCTGTATTTCACATTCCCGTTTTCTGTTGATTCGTTTAATGACCCTCTTCTCTAGCTTGTGCTGATATATTCATTTGTTAATATATATTTGTGCTGCTTTGAAGCTATCTAAACTAAACACGCATTTATATACGAACAACCATGGTACACACGTACTGCTTTTTTCTACTCTGTTGAAATAGCGACTAAATCTAAAGTATCACCGACCATTGTAAGTGACAAATTCATATTACTGCGTTTGACAAATCTCTTGAGTTATGAAGTAATAAAGCGACTGGGTAAAAAAGACTAGACTTAATATAAAAGTTGGAAACGTGTCTGAAAAAGATTTTTTTTTCTTACATTTTTCAACTTTTACAATTTTTGATAACGAAATGACCAGAATTAAGGTTAGTTTAAACATTTTATTGCCAAAATAAATTTGAACAAGGGAATTGGGCACAATTTATTACAATTTATTGGAGCCCTCTCCCATAATACATTTTCAAATACATGCTTATAAAGATGTAGGCTTAAACATAAATTATGCATATTAAGCATTCACACACAGACATAAATACATGTATAAAAATCTTTTAAAACCTTTTGCTGGATTTAATGAAATTTTTCACATGTCTAAAGACAAAATAGTTTAGGTCCTCAGAAAGATCAATACTACCAAATAAAAGAAGCTCTAAATTCAAATCTACGTCTAATTCAGCCAGATTATGAAACAAAGTGCGTCTTTCATTTCTGAAAGTTTGACACTGAAGTGAAAGGCATTCTCACAAGGATGTCCACAGAAGCAAACTGGATTTTCGACAAGATTTACTCGATAAAGATCGTATTTAAGGGAACTACAACGGTATCTAAGATGTATTATGTTTAACTTCCGTTCTCACATAACTAAAATATATAGGTGTGGATTGTTGTGTATATAAAGTGAGATTTTAAACAAATTTATGGAAGTCGATGACCGTACGGAGAAATCTAACAAGTTCAAGCTACGAAGCGGAGAAGGTATAAAAAAGAGGTTTGTCAGAGAATAGACAACAACGCCTCATCTTCCAACAGCTGTCGACGGCTATCACGTTTTTTTTCTCAAAATAACAAACACTAGAATGTCTAATTAACTCTGTCATATAAACAACAATGGCTTTTTTAAATCTCTTATTTGTTACTTATTTGTGAAATCGAAATTATGTTTACATACAGATAAGAGAATGCCGCGTCCTTTATATAAGATTCAACAGCTTGTTCCATATGAACATATTCATTATAGTTTATGTATTGCATAAATTTATGCTTTGCGAAATTAATACCAAACAGATGAGGGATACTTTTGCATGGAATTCTAATATACTATAGATGCCATTATCTGTTACTTGTCTTTTTCATTTAATCCTTGCTAAACCAATTATGGTATACGGTGTAATACCAAGAGATAAAGGATTCACGACATGGTATAATGGGAATATGTATAACGGTATTATGGTATCTTACTGCAACGACGGGAGGTAAAACGAACAGCAGGGTTAATGGTGTTTCTTAATTCAACGATGTAAAGTCAAACGGAACGGTGGGATGTAAAATGAACGAAGGGGGGGTTGGGGGTTGGGGGGGGGGGGGGGGGGGGGTTGGGGGGGGGGGGGGGGGGGTTGGGGGGGAGTTGATCTACTTTAATGATAGGAGTTAAAACTCGCCTCGCGGCGTGGTTTCAAATACAGACAGTCAGTCGTAAATTTATTGATATACCTAAATCATTTGTCTCACACTTCTTTCATCTAAAACCATTGCCAATTTATTTAACATGTTAAGAGATATTCGATTACGTCGGACACGGTCTGTAGGTGTAATTGTTTGTCCAAAAAATAGATCAGAAGCTAGATCAAATACGTCACAGATTACACGTGTCATTACGTTATAATTATGACTGTGGTTTTAAACAGTTTAAAACTGTTACCAGATGGAGTATAAAATTGATATGAAGCCAATCCGGGTAAATATAGATAGAGTGGCGCCCGTTATAAAGGCCTTGAATATTTATCTTCCACCGGGATTTGATTCATATCAACTGCATATCCCATCTGATAACGGTTAATTATCAATATTTTTTTTCATTATTATGACATGTCTATAAAAACTGAAACAAAACAAAATCAAAAATACGTCTTTTGAATTTCCCGCTTAACCAAATACTGAAGTCAGCACGTTCAAATCCATGAACAGACGTAGTAATATGGTTCATCGAGTCACATTAAATTGTATCAAATAGTATGGTCATACATCTAACTTGATCATTGATTTAAAAGTGTAAACTATCGCATCTTTTTTTTCTTTTTTATAATTTAAGTATTTTATCTTTTTCGTTCATTTGAAATAAAAACAGTTTATTGCGCATTGATGTATCACTAAAACGTGATGCGGCTCTCAGTCAAATTGCACAAAAAGACGTGTCTTTGTTTCTTCGAGAATTAATTACGTTTTTATGCCATGGAGTGGATTGATGTTTTTTTTTCAGAATAAAATTATAAACGGATGTTGCTCCTTTCAGTAAATGACATAATTTCGAGGACGTCTAGCAGACGATGATAATAAACTGGGTAGTCTCGTATGATATGGCGATGGGAATGATTTTGTGGTAAAATTACATGATTGTCAATAAATTTAGTCTGTTATCATTTGATAGCTTTGTAAAGTTACTTATTTTCGTGAAGGTCTTACTTAAGTCCAACAACTTGGGATATGTCAGTACAATGTATATTGATACCAAAGTGAAAGTGACCGGCGGCCAGTTTTGGTTACCTAGGAGATGTCTAGATTTGTTCCTAAACCGACCGAATCACTTTAAATTGTAGTCTTATATGCTACAATTTGGCATATTAATGATATGTAGGCGAATATAACATACGATGTAAATATTACACTTATATCTGTCGGTATTACCTTTCAGTGGAATTCTCATCTTGACCACCGAAAATGTATTCATATGCTTGACCAGCGTGAATAGCAAGATACTCCAATCATGATAACATAGAATTTACCGGGAAACATATTGTAAAAACAAGACAAAAATCTTCTAAGGAACAGTATCAACTGGTATAGGGCTGAAACGTATGTCATAAGGTAAGGATAGGATGTATATTGTAATAAGTTAAATTGACTAAATATAGAAGAAGGAAAAGACATCAAGTGTTAGAATGATAAAATGTATAGAGTATGCTAAATTGGCAAGTGTAGGTTATGGTAAATATAACAAGTGTTTGGTATGATGAATATAACAAAAATAGGGTATGATAAATATATCAAATGAAGGACATGCTAGATATAACAAGTAAAGGACACGATAAAGATAACAAAGCATAACACGATAAAGATAACAAGTGAAGGACACGATAATGATAACCAGTGCAAGACACGATAAAGATAACAAGTGTAAGACACGATAAAGATAACAAGTGTAGGACACGATAAACATAACAAGTGTAAGACACGATAAAGATAAC